TTATTAGTGTAGATGTAACCATGCTGCTGGAGTTTTAAAAAAATTTACTGATTGAATAATTAATTGGAAAAGAACAAGCTGCAGATTCCTGATGGATTTATGAGACAATTATTCTGTTTTGAAATTATCTACATACATTACACTATAGAAGCAATAAAGGAAAAAAATCTTATTAAAAAAAAGTCATATATATTGGATAAAAAGATTCACAAAAGTTTATTTTTTAATTAAATAAAAATGTGCTTACAGTACCCTATACTTAAATGCAGTACAAAGGAAAAACTCTAATATCTTAGTAGAAATACCTTACCAGAGATTAATAAATACATTCTTTATGCAAAAGAGTAAATTTTGAATAACATTAATCGATGGGTAATATCAGAGCTATTAGGAGAAAACTCATACAATATAGTTTGTCTTTTATCTCCTCTACTACTACAAAACCAAACGATCTTTTTTTCCTAAAGAAATGGAGGAGAGGCAAAGCTGACAATCACTAATCATGAGGCTATAAAAGGGAATTATTAAAACCTATCCCCACAAAGTTTCATTAAACTAGAGTTACCCAGTTGATTACTCTAAGTTTCTGCGCAAACATTTGCTGAGTGAGATAAAGTATATTCTTTTCAACAGTCTCTGTACCTGACCGTTATTAGGTTGCACTTCAATCTTATTATTTTTGAGGGAAACTGCAGTTATTATTTTTTATAATCACCTATTTTCCTTTGTCATAAGCTCTGTAAATTAACAATATGTGTACTATGTAATAAAACATATCAATGTGTGAAATATACCTTAAATAACCAAATAGGAGAAAAATGACTATAAAAATACTATCATATTTTTGACAAAATAGTTGATTAAAAATCTATTTGTATGTATCTTGTGATTGATCTAAGTCCTCTTCAGCAGACCATATACCTTTCTATTTGTGATTTATACTGTTCCTGCTTTTGAGGTTGCTCCAAGTGGGTTTCCTTTTAATACCTGAAAGCCTATCACAGAAAGATATTCTTCTGCTTTAGCTTCAAGGCAGTGATTTGTGCACTGATAGGTGTACTTTGTTTAGTGTCACCCATGGTGTAGATTGGATAGATTTTGTAAAAGATAGCATTGCTTTAAGAGAAATATACAATTTGACAAGCGATTGTATTTTACTTTCATTTTATTGCCATATTTTCCATCACATTCATTGTTTTCTAGCTGTCACTAAATTGTTCATTTTCTTAGTCTGTTACATCAGTAAAGCTATTTACTGTTTATAAAGCAATATGCACTTACAGGTTTGGGAGATGGTTTGGGCTCTGAGGGTCGCATGTGCAAGTGGGTCATCATTGCTTGAAGACGTTCTCGTTCTTTAGAAAGCTGTTAAGAAAGAGTCAGATCAGAAGCATTTTAGAAATGACTGATACGGCTATTTTATTGCAGTGATACATCTTATCATTGAGCTTGTCTCAGAGTAATGATTCCTGCATATAAAAGTCTTTACCAGTCACAACTTATCTGGGAGGAAATGCAACTTTAACTATGAAGGGTAGGGGAAACTTTTATAGCTTTCCTTATGTTAAAAGGTCAGAGAAAACAAATAACACTTCATCTTTTTGTCAATAAGAGAATTGAGGTCACAGTTGCCTTGACAGTAACAAGTTACTGAAACCATAAATTAGAAGGCCTATGGTGTTTCTCTAAAGTCCTGTGGACACTGTTAGCAATGGACTAGTGCCAACAGCTGTGAAGGGGTGAAGGGTTCTCAAAGAGAAGTGCCTGCCGGGATTGTCTACACACTTCATGCATTCCCACTGAGGTCCAGTTAGTGCCCCCTCCAATCTGCCATCATCAATCTAATTCAATAGAGTGACAGAGACCAGGCAGTGTGAAACGTTGAACTCTGCCACGGAGTCGGCATCTATACTTGCACTGGGTCTCATTACAAGTGACGGACCTTACTTTTCCATCACTCAGACATAGCAGGAAAAAAAAAGGCATAATTGGTCACCCTGCAGACTGTGTCATCATCAGCTGAACTCTTATGTTTCACTTCACCTTTTATAAATGGTAAACAGGTTTATAAAGAGGTTTTTTAAAGTTGCATCAGTAATTATGCTTTTTATGTGTCCTTGGTTATTTTACAAGTCAAAGTAAAATATTTTTAAAAGCTCTCTGGGAAAAAGCAATGATATGATGCATTTGAAATTATTCAAAATATAGTCGAGTGTTAAGAAAAATAAATTGTATGCTTAAGTAAATAAAACTTAGTATTGGTTTGACTGAAAAAAAAAATCTTTAACACTAGAGGAAGTCTTAAAGGGTTAGTAAAAGCATAATAATGATATGGTGATATAATTGTTTTCTGATCAGGTTTATGAGTTCTATTTATTTTGGGCCAAATTTTGTTTTAATATTAACTATATTTTTTAACAAATTAGCAGCATATGATACCACACATATATTAGCACATGGAATATTATAAATGATTTGTCAGTATTACTCCAGAAAAGTCAAATTTTTTTGCAAGTTCTTTATACCAAAGGTAGAAAAGGAAAAGGTTTATCTCAGAGAAATATACTACAGGAATAATGCTTTCAAGATTTTTTTTTACACTATACAATCTAATAAAAAAAATCATGATTAGCTCATATAAAATAACGTCTCCACAATAAAATCATGTCCAATGTGGGGGGGTGATATAACCAATATTAGGGAAAATTTAGATTTGACTCTTTTGGGATATCCAAATGTAGATGATGTAGTCTAAAGGTTATATAAGTCTAAGTGATAATCAGCACATTAAATTATATCAATTCATCCTGAGTTACCAATCATTGCCATCATTATACAATCTAAAATTCCATATATTTCTATTAGACGTTGTGTTAAAAAGACTCAGAATCTACCCAATTTAATCCAACATTATTATAAGAAAGAAGTTCATTAAGTTAGCATTTCCAAACCTGTATTTCTAACTGTTGCACCACTTGCATTTGCACTCGACATTGGGCAGTGCTTCGGTCATCCAACGCATGTTCATTGTTAAGGTGCCTAAGCAAACATAAGATGCAAAACAGAATGTTAAGCAATGTGTATCTCAGTGATATATGCTCCATTTCAAAAACACTACACTGAAGTCCTATTATCCTCCACAGTGGGAAAAAGGAACAAACACCTTGAAACTATACAGAAAGAAAATATTTCTTGAAATTAATAATGAAGAAGAAAAATATTTAGACATAAATGTAACACATGAAGAAGAATTGAGATGGTGTTTCTGAGAAAGGATTGATTTATAAATAAGTAGGCTTATTTAGATTCAGCAAATAAAAATCTTTATTCTGTTCTGCTCCTTACCTTGAAAAAATAAATCAGTTCACTTTAATATTTCCTCACTATTCATAACAACAAGTATCTATATATCTTGGCACAGTTGTCATTCTTAGTTGAAGTGAAATTGTGGTCTAAAATAGTGAGGTGTGTCAGGTCAAGTTTGAGGTGTGTGGTTAGACAGCAGGAGAGGCACTTCCACCCTACCTGTCTCCCCAAAGCTAAACTCTGCTCAGTTCTGTTATGAATCTAATTGTAATGAAAACTTAATTTTCACTTATTCTTTCTGGAAAGGAGGCATAAAATGCTAAACCAGAGCTTAGCTTATGATGTAAAGTGCAACTCATTTCTAATTAAACAAACATTTAAAAGTTGTTTTACAGGTTTTTTCACCAAAATTTTAATGGGGAATGAGATAGTTTTCTAGCAGTATACTACAATGGTAATTATATTCTTAAGGTTTAATATTGTTATATTTTCTTAAAGTTTCTTTTTTTCACTATGAACTGTCAGGAAAAACACACATATGTTTATTTCACAATCAGTCTAAATGATGAATATTTTTTTAAAATGCTTTAGCTTTACACAAAGACTAGTATGTAATGAAACAAGATAAGTAGAATATACAGCTTTGCAAGAAAAGATATATGCAGTATAGTGTTTAGTTTTGCATAAAATCACTTTTAAAAAGGTTTTTTACACTTGTGTACTTCTTAGTGATAATTATCCTATACTTAAAGAACTAAAAAAGTACAAAATGTTTGCATTCTATACTTGGGTCTTAGAAACCTATTTAATTTATCTATACAGCTTTTATTAGAAGAGAGACTGTAGACTACAATAATAGTCAATGAGGTTTTGTCTTGATTGAATTTTTCAGTGGGACACAAAAGAACCTTGCCATTAAAATAGTCCTTTATTCTCCTGTATGAAGGCGAAAGGTTTTTAAAGTGTTGTGATGTTCAGTAATGAGCCTCTATCTAAATTATCATTGGTGACAAACTCACAAAGCACTTTTCGAGGACACATAGTTATGAAATGCCAGAGCTGCCACTTTCTTTCCTGTAATTATAGGCTAGCTTGCAGCCCTTCAATGATCATTTATAGAACAGCCTCCAGTGGATTACTGAGAACTTGAAAAACACATACATACCTCTGCCACATCTCCCTTCTCCTTTCGTTGCTATTGTTTACTGATGATATGTAAAACAATGGTGCCTATTCATTCTCCTTACTTAATTATGCCAATCAAAGTCCTGAAATAATGTTGGATATAAATACAATGCAATAAGACTAAATAGGCTGAATATTAATATTAAATTATGAATTTATGTATTTATAACTGTTTTGTGTTCAAATTATTCTCTTTCTTGTTTTTATAACTATCTCAGGTACTACATATTGCTATTCAAAAATTCTGTATGATTTATAAATCAAAATGAGATAATACTGAAAAATGAGAGGATTTGTGGATTTCCTCAGTCAGTGCCTAATTGCTGTTTCAAAATGCATATGCAAAGGGACATTTCATTAATCATTTAATCATGTCCCTTGAAGGAAGTTGAAACTAATGTTGCAAATACCCTTTTCATATGAATGCTCCATAATACTATCTTATTCATTTGATATATTGCCTATGTCATAAATTATAGCTCCTTCAAAATGACCAAGTAGGACTGTTATCCCAGAAGATGCTTGTTACAAAACCTTTATTAAGTTTTGTTTTTTACTTATTGGTAGTTCTATTTCACAGCTTCATACTATCCAACAATAATACTCTTTCTGATGGCAAAGGTCTGTAAATTACCCATGCAATCACTAACACCATTTCACAAGCCTGTTCTACTTCTACTGGTCTGCTAACAAGACAATTACACACAAATTACTGAATGTCTATGAAATATTTAAATGCATTCTACTCTACTATGCATTAATAAGAGCAAAGCAAGCTCTGGAATTCTGGTTTGCTCCAGTCCCTAATGTCTCCTAATGAGCTTCTTACCGAGACTGCAGTTCAAACACAGAGGTGAAGAAAAAATGCAAAGGGTGCATTCAGAAAGGCAGCACTGAACAAACATTGTGTGAGCCAGCTCTAATTTATGGGTCACTTTATAGGTATATTGATTTTTGTTTTCAAAATGGAATAAATGATGTGGTCTACTGACGTTCTTTCAAAACTGCATTGAATCTGTGTACTAGGTAGGTAGTGTGGACTAGAAAAAATGTAAATAAGCAGTCAATTTTTTTTCTAAAAACAATTAAGCAAGCATTTCAGAAAGATGAAAACTAGGAAATGATCTTTCCAATTTAGTTAATGCACAATTCTTTTTAACAAATCTTTTAAGGTTATGAATACATGTGGAAGCTTCAATTATAAACACCCCAGATTAGTAATTCAATTTTCAACTCCAGATTTTTTCAATTTCATTTAAAGTTATATTATTTTATAAGCTAAAAAGGCATCAGATTTAAATCCAACTATATCAGACTTTTTAACAAAATGTTTCACTTGCAAATCACTAGTGTTTCATTTATTTTGCATCAAGCTTTTTATGTTTAAACACTGACAGGAGTTTAAATACAAAATGTTAGCTGTCACTATTCATTTAGCTGATTATGTGAGATGCCTTAGTTTTCAGAGATGAGGCACTGTCACCAAAAGAAACAACATTCTGACAAGTTCAAAGAATGCCTTCTTGAGGTCATAATTTTGTATCCATGCTTCCTAGTCAAAGACAAAGAAATCGACAATACACACTAAGCAAAAGCATAATTTTTAGTCAGCTACCAGAAGAAAAGATAACAAATTTCCCATTAAATTAACTATTTTTGCTACCTTTTCTGTTGCTCTTCATATAGTGTTACACCTTACAAATGTAGTCTTTGTAAATAAACCTAATTCATTTATCATCAACTAATTACTCTTTAACAGATTGATATTTTAATGGACACTATCCATTCTGCCCTTCTTTGAAGTGAGTATCCCTTCTATTTCAGATCATATTTTGTCTGCTGGCATCTGTGCATGCAGGTTTAGAAACATTTGTCTGCTAACTGGAATGTTACAGTGTTAACCTTTTGGTTTACGCTCAAAAAAAGTCAATCCATCTACATTCAAGCTGATTTAGGTCCAGTGGAGTGATAATTAATTTTGCAGCCAAACTACACTAAAGTATTATCAAATGTTATTACACATTGACATTTATAAGACAGTAATGAAAAACTAGTATTAAATGCTATTAGCAATCTAGTAAGATCTCCAATTAGTGGTCAGAAAAATGATTAGCTTTTGTCAACTCTTACTTTACAGTAAAATTCAAAATTTTTCCTAAACACCTTTTCCTGAACTTTCTTCTTCATCTTTTTAGCCTGAACTTTCTTCTTCATCTTTTATTTTCTGCTTTCATTTGGCTGTTACAAATAACAGCCAAATAACAGTTTCTAACTTAACCAAGTTACTTTCATTCAACAGAAAATAATGTTTCAATTGAAAATTAAAGTTATATATGTACAGATATGACTAAGGATATGTATGTTATATTCAAGCAAATGTCTTCTGGTAGCTTTTAATTTGGTGCTGGGCCAAAACAGAGAGAGATTCTACCAAGTTGGGAATGTAATGTGATAAAGAGAATTTGGGACTTAATGTATTTTCCACTATCACTTGTTTTTTTAACACATGTTAACACATGTTTTTTAAACATGTTAAATAGTAATAATTGATGGTTTATTTTATTTCAAACCAATGAATAAGTTGTCTGAATAAGTTCAAGCTACACAGTTTATTTCTAGTGCATTTTAGAAATTAAAATGCCACAGTATTTTCTGAAAAAAAAATTTATAATGAACACTGGCTATAAAATTTCCAGAGAATGGATAAACATGAAAACTGAGACCTAAAAACCTTTCACAGCTTCTTGACTTGTCTGACTTTTTTTCCCCCAAGACTCTCAATTCTCTCCATTATTACAAAAGAAAAACAAAATCTTCTTTCCAAGAAAATCTGTATTAGTCGTGATGCCTTCTTCATTTCATTTTCCACACAGACACTAAATAAACTGAAATTAATTTAATAAAATTGTTATTTTATTTCTCTTCAAATGTCACATACATTTTACAGAAAACACAATAACAGTATGGGAATATGTCTTATTAATACTTTATTTTAGTACAGTATACTGACATTAGCTTTATTAACAGACATTATCACAGATCTTTGAGTTAGGGAGCCTAAAACATATCATTAAAAATGAACTAAAAGAAAAGCCTTAAAATCTGTCATTTGTTCTGCCATCCCTATAAATTTAATGTGTTGGAAAAATGGTCAGTCTTTGGAACAAAAGTTGATATTGAAAAAAAATGTTTTCTTACTTGTAATTTTCCAGTTCAAAAAAACACTAGAATAATTATAAAAAAGACCAAAGAAGATAAAATGAGGGTTCCTATTCATCTTCTTGTTAGTAATAAAAATATATATAAGTACTTAAGATGAATAAAAATGCCCCTTTCCATGTGCTATGAAGGAAATTATTCTGAAGAAAAGATGTATTATTTTCTTAAAAAATTAATTTTGAATGTTGTTAGAAAGGATAAGTTGAAGCAATAAAATGTATAGTGACTGAGCTAATTCTATGGTTTAAATTACCAAATTGAATGAATAGTAACATTAGTCTTCTAAATTATTTTAATGATAAGGAATAATATCAATAATAATATTGATTTGGACTAATCTATCCAAAAGAAGTACTCAGTTGTTACAAGAATTAATGTCCCTATATTCTGTCTTTGTCATATGTTTGTTATTTCTCCTAGAAAGGAAAACTTTAGAAAAGTTACCTAACATTTTAAATGCTCTCTTGCTTAAGAACAGTAGAATCAGTTTCATACTCAACAAAATGGTAGCTTACAACTGTTTTGTTATAACAGAAGTACAAATTTTCATTTCAGGACATTTTAAAAAGTCATAGTAACATAGGAAGCAAATTTTCTTTTAATTGATCAAAACATAAAAAGATTTTTTTAAAAACTCCTTGTGAAAGTCTTACTGGAATTCAGCTATAATGTTATTATGATGCCAAGTACTTGTCCCTTGTTGTAAAGGTGCTTTTGCTCTATACTCTGTGGTCTATCATTTGTAAACGCATCTTTCTGATGTTTCTGCCAACATCCTGGCAACACAGCAGTGCAATTTCAAATGAGTTAATTAACTTAATTGTTGATGAAGCATGAAACAGTTCATTCACCCTGTTAGCTGCTCCATGACAACATAAGAGTCTCAGCCTGTGAAGTAACTCATCTCCATAAACCTATCTGTAGCTCTCTGTTTAGAACTTTTGTATGGTGGAATTGTGCGTGGAAAATGCATATTCTCATTTGAAACAGAATCTCTTGAGAATTAAAACATAAATTTTCACTGTATGAAGAAATTAAGGATATACCAAGTTTTGATTTTAAGCTAGAGAAGCAGTATGGTCTATCATATAAACATACAGCCATATATGTTTCTTTATGATTCTCAGAGTAATAAGTGTCAATGTGGATGAAGCAGTTATTTTAAATCTTTAGCTTCTATTAACTTTCATTTTTTATTCTTGTTAAATATATATTTTTAAATATCATTATTTAAAGTAAGGAATATAGAGTTCGGAATTTAGAAAAGTAAACCTGTAAAATTTGTCTGTTTAATACATATATTAAAATTTGTCTCTTTTTATATATATATATATATATACACATATATATATACAATATGATCCTCCTTTAATTTTATTTGACATTTTTATTGAAAGATTGAAGTTTAAGTGAACCCTGCAAACCTATCTCCCAATTATTAATGATACAATTAGAGTAGGCTAATAGTTTTTGTTCATTCAAAAACCTTTATTGAATGATTTATAAATATTCTCATGAAAAGGTAAAGATGAAGAGTTAAATTTCTTGGTCTAACTTTGTTAATCCACTTGTCAAAATACACAGAAAACTTAGAGTGTGCCTTTACTTTCCTCCTTCATTTTTCTTTTATTTAAAACAATGTGCCCCAAACTCCCATATAACTCACTTCCACTCCCTCCCCTTAAAAAAAAAGTTAAAAACATACTTTAAAAACTGTCCAAAATCTTCACAAATGCTTTCACAGCCTGGCCACTTGCAAACTCCATGGCCATAGAGAGTGTGAGAGGCTCCAGTCTCCTCATGTGACGAGCTGTAGTAAAGGAGCACAGATCAGATTCATCTCAAAAAGCCATAATCATTGCAGGCTGCTAGAGCCTGTCAGGTTACAACCAGTGACAAACAGGTCAAAACAGGTCAATTCAGCTCAGAGCAGTCAGAAAAATTTAATCGTTCTGCTGAATAGTTCAACTGTCAAGGCTAGATGATGTTCCAATTAGAGGAGAAATAGAGCCAAAGATGACTGTTAATAAAGGATGAAAAACTAAGAAGACTGTATAATATCGTATGCTAATCCTGCCATGTGACCTTAATATAACATTTACCTCTAAATAAAAAAATATACATTCATATGTGGTCAAGAGGAAAAATACCTGTATTTTAAGAGAATAAAATGATTTTTGAAATACTCTTTTTAAAGAAAGGATTAGGAACATTTTAATTGTTCAATATTTAAGTGTGGACCATGTATAATTCTACTAGTAACAGTTGATTTTAAAATCTTTACTGTATGTTTACTTTTGAGAAGTGAATACTGTATTAGACAGAGAGATCCTAGAGAAATCAGCCAACTTCTAAAATATATAATCATCAAATTAATTTCAATTAAAACAAGTATGAAAGCATTCAGAGGCATACCATTTTATACTAATGCAAGTTAACAAGAAAAAAATTTTCATGATACTCAAAAACCAGAAACATTGTCAAATAATAGCATTCTATTTTAAACTGTGCTGTTATTAAATGTGTCTTTGAAAAAATGTTTGTTTATGAGAGAGAATATTTATTGCATCTACACAGATATTCTTATTATATAACAGAACACTATCATTCCACTACATTTAAATTTGAATTTTAGAGCTATGCATTATATAAACCTCAGCCAGTTTGTTAAGAAATCCTACACTTATGTTTCATTTTTTACAAAGATACTTTTCATGTTGAGCAATATTTTATTTAAATTATTTTAAAGGACTTGATTAGGTATCCATATACCTGAATAAATGGAATAAATAGACAAAAGTACACAGGTGCTTCTCTTACAAAGGCAGCCTTTATACAACTAAAACAAAACAGTAGCTTTAAAAATAATCTAACATAATGTACTTAATGTTGGCAACTGAAATAAAATAATATTTTATTTATTAATTTTAGTCATATTTATTCAGAAAGTAATCATACTTATTTTTTATATATTTATAAATTCCATCATATTTACACATTTATATACCTGTTCTCTGATTTCTAAGCACACATGTGAAGCATATACATTAAGGGAGTTATATATACATCTTTAATTATTTGAAACTGGTTATGTTAAAAAATGATAAAACATTCTCATGGCATTTTGGTTAATCACAGCATCTTAGTCATAAAAATATATTGACACAGTAATTCCACATGCACTTATTAAAAATAGCTTTTTTCAGGCAATTTACAACTGTATCTATCAAACTGCTAGTATTTAAACTGCTTTCTGTAATGACAAATAATATATAAGATAACCTAAAGGTTTCCATTTTATTTGCTGTTTTATACATTTTTCCCCTGTTAAGTAAAAATCATAATTTTTAGTTTTAATCAATGGTGGAAGTAAAAATTGGTGATAAATAAATATAGAATAAATTTAATGAAGTTTACCTGTCTCGCCTTGCAGTTAGAACTGAAGACTGTCCATTTACTATGGAATGATGGGTTATTGGTGGTGATGCTTTGGAAGTGGTGGAGGAGGTAGTCGAGGAGGAATTGTTAGTAGTGAGGTCTAGCCCTCCATGTTTCATGCCATTGTCTTCCATACTGTGAACTCCAGTCACTTCTTTCCATAACTGCTGAATCTCAGCAGGACTTAAGCCAGCTATAAAATGAAAGAAATACCCAGTAATATATCAAGGTAAAGTTGACATAATGAGATTAGTGTTATTACTGGATTGATGCCAATAATAAAAATGATGTTACAGGATAATTAATATACAATACTAAGTGACTTCATAACATCAGCACCACAGCTTTTCTCTTGAATAATCATTTATTTGCTAAAGACTACCAATTGGGAATAGCACTGAGAAAAAATAGTATTCAGAATAGTATCAAGGATTAATAGAAAAAAAATCCAGAAACTCTATTTGAAAATTAAACTATTCAACTTTTAACAGTAGGTTTTACTTACTGCTAGCTAATATTCAGTTTTTGTCAATGAAGAAGTAAATACATTTGTAAATAAGACATATTAAAATAAATGAAAAGAAAAAATGAAGTGAGGAAAGGTAACAAAAATGTCAGGAAAAAATAGTAAGCACAACTCAAACTAAAACTATACTTGATAACTATTCAGTTATTTTGATATTTCATTTTAAATCAAAATGAAATAATTGGATTTCATTTTGAGGTTCTGAATAAAACAAAATTACTAACCACATGGATCAATTAAGCAGATTACAACTAAAATTATTCTTTATTTTAAGACTGATAGAATAAATCTCCTAGTCATTTTTTAAAACTCCCTGGTTCATATTATGCAAATTAACCTGATTTATGAAGAATGAAAATAGAAAAGCTAGGCACCATCCTTATTTTTTAACTATAATTTTCAAGTAAGAAATAAAAGACTTTTGTTTACAGCATTTGACTTATAAAATAGCACTTACATGTGCCAAGTACTGTGCTTTCAAATAGTCTCTGTACACCTTATGCTACTTAAATCTCATTACAATCCAACAGAGTTGATACTTTTTAAATCTTTTTAAATTACATTTATTGGAATGACAACGATTAATAAAATTATACAGGTTTCAAGTGTACAATCATTTGATATATCATGTGTATATTGCATTGTGTGTTTACCATCCAAAATCACCATATATTTGAACCCCTTTACCTTTTACCCTATTTTTTTTTCTTTTTTATATCTTCAGGATGGTGTGATATAATCTCAAATGTAATGAATTATACAGGGTCTGGCAGAAGTAATGCCTGCCTGAGTGTGAATGGTAAGGTAATAATATAGGTGTAATAATTTAGAGTTTTCATTTGAACATTTCACCTAAAATGTCATGTGGTGTGCTAAAGTGTGATATTGTTATGGTACAGAATTCCATGCTTGTGATTTTGTAATAAATTAGGGGCATTATTTGTTCTAGATGCTGTATATTGTTAATGTTTTCCTCCATTATGACAGTGTCATCTTGAAAATATTTACATAATATTTCATAAAGGTATATATTTATATAATCAAGTGTTATTTGTTATAATATAAACTTGAAATAATATAATACTTTCATTTTAACCAATTTATGGATTAGGAAACAAATGGGAGTGAAGCTCAAAAATATATATAAGGTCCCAAATAAAATTGTGATTTAAATCCAGTCTGACTTGAATATCTTTGCCGTTAAAATATTGTATTAAAAATATGAAGACTCCTGATAAAGATATAACAAGGGAAATATATTTGTAATTACAATTGCTATCATATATTGAGCATCTACTGTATTCTGGTGCTTTGTGTTCATAATCTCAATTAACCTCACCTAAAGTTAGAAATCATTACATTTTAAGGATAAAGATGTTGAGGCTCATGAAGATGAAATATTTTACCCTAAATCACTTACCCCATAATTTGGGGACAAAATTTAAATTTAATACCTTGTGACTCCACAATCTTTGTTGTTTTTTACTATGTTTATCTATATCTAATAGAACAATGGAAGTGCTAGTCAAACTACTATCCCTCTCCAGCAACCCAACATACATCTATATTAGTTGTTAGAGTGCTGCTGATTGGTCAAGAGGTGTGTGGGAATGAAATGGGATGTAATAGGCAGGGGAGAGGGAGGAAAGATAACAGAATATGGTGGTGAGGAGAGTAAGCCCTCTCACCACTTCCCTGTGGAAGAATCAGTGATTTAGGCATAATAGTAAGTGGACCAAAGTAACAGAAGAATTCTCACTGCTCCAACTATAACTTCTAGTCAAATTATTCATCACAGTGGTAACCTTAAATTATTATATACCTATCACCATCTTATACAGGTAGTTTTATTGAAAATTATCATTTTAGTGATTCTGCCTCCTTGTAATTTTAAGATGTGGCCTGAGACTAAAGAAAATATAGGATTTCCAAAGTTGTTAAAAAAAACTCCTTTTTGTAACAAAAAAATGGCTTAATAAAGTACAGTATTTCTAATACATAGGAAATAATTTCTATATAAAGATTCTTAATTGTAACTTTAATTCTAGCTTTAACCTAGGATGCTGAAACTTTTCTGACTGTAACTTTTTAAATACTTGCTTGTATTATGTTTCGTGTCCTAAAGGCCAAACTCCATTAGCAAATCCTTTCTTGTGATAGTATCAACATGAATTCTGCATCAAAACTTCACCATCTCACCTGCTATCTCTGTTTCACCATCTGCTCTTGCTTGGAATACTGCTACTCACTGTCCTCCTGCTTTTACCTTATCTTCATATAATTTACTCTTCATATAGCAGCCAAAATTTATCTCTTTCAATGTAAATTAGGCCGCAGCATTTCCCAAGGCAAATTGTCTCATGCCTTTCCAGAACACTTATGGAAAAATCAATCAATCAATCAATCAAGCAAGCAAGCAAGCAAGCAAGCAAGCAAGCACGCAAGCACCTTACTATGGCCTGTGAAGAACCGGCATTTATCATTGTCCTCTTGCCTGATTCTCTGACCTCATTCTCTCATTCTCTCTCTCTCTCTCTCTCTCTCTCTCTCTCTCTCTCTCTCTCTCTCTCCACCCCTTCTCTCCCCACATTTCATTTTGTTATACTAGCCTTCTGCTGACCCTCAAATGCATCAAACATTTGCTTCCTTTCCATCTATTGCTCTGACTGTTCCCATTGCCTGGGCCACTCTCATTGTAAATAGCTCCATGGCTTTCTCTCTCCCTTCACTTTCAGGGATGTCCAAACTTTCAGCGCCCCTGTGCCACACTGGAAGAAGAGTAGCCTTGGGCCACATATTAAATACATTGCAACATGTAATCACAAAAAATATCCCATAATGTTTTAAGTAAATTTATGATTTTCTATTGGCACATTCACAGCCATCCTGGGCTGCATGCAGCCTGTGGGCAGCTGGTTGGGCACCCTTAATGGTTCAAGTATCACCTCCTCTCAAAGGTCTTTGGCCACTGTTAATCACTGCCTCTCCTCACCCTGCCTTCTATCATTCTCTGTGACTTCACCCTACTTTACTTTTCTTTCAAGCATTTGAAACTACATTATTTATTTAATTATCATCAATCTCCCTCCACTGAAATTTAAGCTTTATAAGAATAGGATCTTTTTATTACTGGTATATCCTAAGTGCCTAGAATATGTGCCAAATAATCAGTTGTTAATATCATTGATTTTTAACAAGTTCACACAGATCTCAGAGACATCTTGGTTTCCACATGGAAGTCCTGTGGCTCTTAAAGGAAGTCCTATGGCATACTATTTATGAGTATTCCTACTCTTTGATTCCAATGTCTAAAAATTTAAGCGTAATTTAAAATTTTAATTCACTTATTTACTAATACTCCATTTATCTGCTAAGGTTATGTACAATTAGAATAATAAAAACAAATTTAGGTAGAAATATTTATATCAGCCATATATATATTAAACCAATTTGATATTTTTTAGTAATTTGGATTGTTGAAATGTTACCATGGCATTTTTACTTTTCATATCAAATTTTACAGCTTAAAAACTGGTATATATACATGACCAAAATAATTAAATCACAGAGAAAGGTATACATTGCAAAATTAACTTGCCCTACAAGCCCTGACCTCTAGGTCCTAGGTTCTCTCCAGAGACAACCATTATTCCAGTCTCTGGGTTATCCTTCAGAGATCTCTATGTTCATATATAATGTGCCAAACCTAACATATTATTCAACTAAGGGTTTAGAATAACCTGTAAATACAATACCCATCTTTCAAATACATGTTTAATGAAGGGTGTACCAAATATACATTTTTTTCAAATGCTGAATTACAAGGGGTAAAATCGCTATTTTGCTAAAACTGAGACCAAAGGAAATATTGCCACCATAAAAAGGAACTTCTGGGATACAGGAATACATTTGATATAAAAATTCCTCCTATGATTTTAATGTTAAAATTTTATAGGCTGCATTTTTAAAGTTTGATATTTTATTACAAAAACAATAATTTCTCAGTTTTCATCATCAGGGAATTTTAATGTTGCAAAGGTGACATTCCACTTTTTCGTCTTCTTTCAATACATAAAAAATGGACAAACAGAAGTTTTTTTCCAAGTCTAATGGCCTAAACAAAATTATGCAGGCTAGCTCATTAAATAATTCTGTAACAATTACAATTATGATATAATTAATTTCCATCTTTTATACATTTTCTCCAAAATTAACTCAACACACTTTTAATATCACCCAATGTATTTAATTATTTATAAGTTAGTTTTTATACACAAAATTAACAGCATTCACAGGTAATTTTGCTAAATTTTATACCTGCAATAATAAATGTATATTTATACTTGTGTTCCCTGATGGAGTTTCATCATATAAATTGCCCACCCCCCCCCTAAAATTACCCCTTTAAGTTACAAATAGAAGATTTAGCATTTGAAAGGAAATACTAAGATGGTAACAATAATTCTGCATGACATGTAGTTTTCATATTACTGTGTTGTTACCCTGGTTAGACGATGTCAGTCTATGCAAACACATAGATTAATAAAAAAATCAAAGATGCCAGAAGTAATGCTGAAATAGGTATTTGGCTATCTAGATTATCATAAGCAGAGAATGAAATCAAAGCCAAATAACTGATTTTGGCTATTTCAAACTTCAGCCAAAGGCAAACTTTAGCACTCAGCATAAAGGACATTAAAAGGTTTTATATTTTTTTTATTCAATAATTCTCAGATTCCAAACTGTTCTAGTTCTACAAAATGTTAGTTCAAAATAGTGCTTGTTTGATAGCTAGCATTTCCTGTTTGGTGTTTCAGATTGGTAATAAAAATGCTATATTTTAAGTATTGTATTTTGTCATGTATAATGTGCACATTTTTGCCCCCCTAAATAATTCTTATTATTCATGGGAATCAGTACTACAATGTGGGTACTCATTATACATGGCAAAATATGTAACTTTTTAAAGTTCAAACAAAAATGTGTAAAAACTTGGAATAAAATGGAATTTATGCCACATATATTTTAATCCCTATAATCATAGTAAACATGCAAATATATTGTGTTTTGTGATACAACTGACTTCTGTCTTATGTGAAAACCATATCAAAGTTTAAAGTACATGCACAGTATTTTCCTATGTTCTAACCGGTAGACAATGGTACTGGTTATGAAAATGTGTCTCTAAGTAATTACTAGTTGATATATAAACCATACTATATATGTAGTAAATAGCTTTACATTCCATATTTTATTTGAGATTGTTTTCCAAATTCATTCTTTTTTATTTGATTTCTATATATCTACAGTCACTCTATATGCATAGACATAATCTAATTGCCTGTTTTACATTAAAATCCAATATTATAGTATTATTCATGATGATGTTAAATGTTTCATATTTTAAATAATTCACTTTAAAATGGTAAAATGCATTTATCATTTTACAACAGAGAAAAATATGGGTATATCTCTTACCCTTACCAAAATTATCTGATTCTTATATACATATTCTTTATATAGTTGAAAAAAGTTTTAATTTTAAAAGCAGCCCAAGGAAGTTGTGTTAAATCATGGGATAAATACTTCAAATATGTCATTTTTAAAGATTTTATTTATTTATTTTTAGACAGAGGGGAAAGGAGGGAGAAAGAGAGGGAAAGAAACATCAATCTGTGATTGCCTCTCACACGCCCTTCCCCACCAGGGACCTGGCCCACAAGCCAGGCATGTGCCTTGACTGGAAATCGAACCAGCAACCTTTTGGTACGCAGGCCAGACCTCAGTCCACTGAGCCACACCAGTCAGGTCAAATATGTCATATTTTTAAGAACACAAAGAGAATATTATCATTGTATATTAACCCTACCCACTTTTCATATGTCTCTTATTCATGGCTAATCATTCGACAGAACTGGTACAAACTGCACTGGGAAACTATAAATAAAAATATTTAAAATATTTTTTATCTGAAATAACCAATAACTAAGGCAGGGCTTACATTATCTAACAAATACTTCTTTACTTTCTCATATTCTAATTTGGAGATTCCAGCACCATGAAGTCATGGGTTTTTATTGTAGCTGGTTTATCTGACAGCCTGACTATGTTTGGCTTTGGGGCTCCACAATGAAATTTTGTACACTTATTAATCTAAACAGTGAAAAACACAGTAATGACTTTCATCTTTTTTGTTTAAAATATATATTTTCTGCACAAACCCAGATACATTTTCAGATTTACTTCCCTTTCCTTTACTTCACTTTCCTAAAGTTCTCCATCCTGTGTGCTTTCTCTCTCAGCTACAAAATAAAGCTCAGAGATAAAAACTTATGTTTGAAAACTATTATAATGGTTACACATAATAAATTTCCTTGTTCAGAGAGATATTTTCTGTGCTTGTATTGGAAGAATATAGTTTAACAAATATAGTTCAAATAAGTTAAACACTTTGTTTCTATGAACATCTATTTTTAACTTTTTTGAAATACTTGTTTGGTTTTAGCCAAACAAAATGGTAGATCATGTTTCTCTATTGAAGGGATTCTGATATAATGAGATCCTAAATACAGATTTTATTTAAATTTTACTGAAAAAAAATCAATGAGATTTTTGCTTCTATTTTAGCATAGTTTCTACCAAAGACATCGATGTTTACACTGAATTAATTTATGTTTCTTTTTAAAAACTTATTTTTTATTCATCTTCAAATTGTATTTTTCTTAAGCATGATAATTTGTGAACAAAATATTCATTGCTAGTGACACCATGATTTATTCCAATTCTCTGTGGAGTAACACAGAAAAGTGGGTTTAGTGCCTTGTTTTTCTTTCATTATTTAAACTTTCTTGATTTCCTAGGAGGGAATTAGTGGACCAGGTGAATCAGAGGATCAGAAATCAAGTGAAAGAGTGAATTTTAGGAAAAGTAAGCCAACAAGAGGGTAATTTAATAAATAAAGAGAAAAAACATTTACTGTAACACATTTGTGTGGTGAAACAATGGTTATGTGCATTTTAAAGACTATTTCATCTGCTTAATTTTAATTTTTGTATATTTAATTTTTCTTGCTTTTCTACAGTGTATCTCTGTGTCAGAAAAATGCACAGCAAATACTACTGCAATGTGATCCCTGGGTAAAAAACATAACAGATTCAAAATAAAGTTCATTTGGTTTAGTTTGTTCTATCAAAATGCAAATCCAAATTAAAGTTTATTATCAAAGTACATCCAAAGTTTTATTTTCAGAAAAACAAATAAAAACACAGTTCATAGCTTTTTAAATCTACAATTTACAATGTATGAATAGGTAATACTATTTTAGAAAAAAATAGGATCAATCTGGTCAGTTGATGCATGATGGGATCTCACACAGCATAAATAGGAATGTGTTCTGTAGAAATACATAAAACTTCTTTTTTATATGTGGAGGTTTCAATGTAAAGACTAGGAATTCCTATCTTCTTCTGATTGGTTGCCCACAAAACTCAGCTCATTTATGTTGCATGGAGTGTTGCTACTGCATTAGTGGTAAGGCTACAGTTCTCTGTAGATATTCAGTGTATATTTCATAGTATTTGAATTGCATTTCCCTTATAAATTAGTTACTGCCATATGACTAATAAATACACATTTAACAAAACACTTGAAAGCAGGGTATAGTAAAATTTATGAATCTTAAAAAATGTGTCATGCAACCATGTTAATCGTGCTCTAATAATAAACTTGAAGGTCATAAAAACATAATTCTTCAGGTATAAGGCAGACAGGCAATGAAATGGTAGAAAGTGCAACATTAGAAATGAAGTATGTACCATATTTTGTATGTACCTTGAGGCAGCGACTGGACAGGGAGTGCTGCCTGGCCAGGTGGAATGGAGATGAGTCCCTGACGCTGAAGGCTTAGCAGATGTTGTTGCTGCTGGAGTTGTTGCATCTGGAGAAGCTGCTGCTGAAAGACAAGCTGCTGCGCTGCCAACTGCTGCTGCTGCTGCTGCTGCTGCTGCTGTTGCTGCTGCTGCTGCTGTCACAGAACCCACCAGTCAACAGCAGAGAACATGGTCTGCACAAACAGCTCTCACACAAAGAAATTTACACTCTTCTCCTCACCAGGTGGGTTGTCAAGTGCCGGCTGTATGCAAGTTCTAGATTTTCACTTGCCTTTCTTTCAAATATCACACAGCATAACAGAACATAAAAACTTGCATTACAAGTATGAGAAAAGGTCTAGAGAAAGTATTTAACAAAGATTCAGGAGTTTTTAAAAAAACTGGTATATTGCAGATGATAATAAATTTATATAGACTAAAAAGATAACAGTTTATAGAAAAAGTCAACTTCAACAACACTATTTTTTTTCCCAGCTGAGTAAGTTCACTCTACAGCAGTCCATGACTGTGGTCTCTAGTGATTTATTAGTAAACTGGGATGTAACTTTCATAGGAAAGGCCTGTTAGCTCTCTCTCCTTCCCTCTCTTCTCTTGTTGGAATATATTAAAGACTGTTATGTTCAAAGCAAAACAAAGTCTCCTTATTATAAAGAAAAGTATAACTTCAAATTTTGTGAATTATTACAATACAAACTCTAGTTCTTTGGACTTAGGAGAAGGAAGTCAAACTTCAGGGAAAGAGACGCTGCTCTGAAAGACCTTTCATTTTTAGTTTGAGGAAAAGAAAGTTCTGATGCGCTCACTGGAAAACAGACTGCATAATGGAGCAAGTCATGTGGACTGCCCAAAGCCTCCAGAGAAATAAGGGAGCAATTTCTATTCTGTAGTTGATGGCTGTCTGAAATTCTATTCACAAATCCAAACAGAATCAAAGCCTCAGGAGGTCAAAACTGTTTCCTGGACGTTTGCATAATGGCAGCTTGAAGACAACGGCTCTGATACCTGCTGATCAATTTAACTACTTCAACATGTTTTGTTTGTATTATGTTTATATTTGATGCAGTTTGCTGACAAGTGCAAGCTAGGCCTGAGAAGCCAGCTTGTCAGTTTGATTTATGAGCACATCAAACTGTAACTTTCTACTCGCCACTCCAAACCTACAGTAGCAGTTCATTAATCAGGAACCTGTGACTTTGAAATCTGTGCTCAACCAGTTTCTCCCTTGGACCCACAACCTCCAACAATAGGCCAAATTTGCATGCATGCTCTCTGAGCTGCAGTATGGAGAAAAATAAGGTTCCCTCACCAACTTAGAGTTCTTGGCAAATACAAGATAATCAGTACTTTGTCCACCACACAGCTTGCTCTTTGTATGCTGATTCACTTGAGAACATTGGATGACCGCAGCATTGGATTGGAACTCTTAAGTTCCTAGCTACAAAAAAGGACAGCAGGACTGTCCCTGTTATTAAGCTCAACTAAAAAAAAAAAAAGTATGATAAGTGCTTCTTTGCTAGCAAAAGTCTTGTGATAGAAAGATCTGAGACCACCCTGGCCTCATGGCCCTTTCCAAATTCACACTCTTGTATGCCAGTGAACAGGCCAGACCCTACCTCTTTTGCTGGTTTTCCAGGATGTTGTTGTTGCTGCTGCTGCTGCTGCTGCTGCTGCTGTTGCTGCTGCTGCTGCTGTTGCTGCTGCTGCTGCTGCTGCTGTTGCTGCTGCTGCTGCAAAAGCTGAAGATGTAACTGCTCTTGCTGTTTCTTGTAAAACTCTTGTAGTTGTTGCTGAATAAACCATTTTGACTTTAATAAATAAAGGCAAAAGTTTCATGTATTACAAATCTCCTAAACTCTTCTAGACTGGGATATGGTAAAGTATCGAGTTAGACTGCCTCTCAAGAAAAACAAAAAAATATGCGTTGGATACAAGGAGACAGATTTGTATAGATTTTTTTCCTAAAACAGATCTGAAATTTTCCAATCCAGAATTTTTTAAAAATCCTAAACAAGAGGTATAAAAAAATCTGTCTTTTAAAGGGTCAGAAACAAATGAATATCCTAAATTATAACATCTGAAGTTCCAATAACATATAAAACTAGGTTATACTCTACCACTTATAAGAACTAAATACATAGATACAGGGAGCCAGGTTGTTCATTTTTTATTGGAAAAATAATTTAAATACATCAGGTGGCAAAAGTATGTCAGACTAAAATATAAGCAACTGGTTTGTGGTCATCATCATAGAAGGCAACAAATTAATTAAATATATACAAATTCAGGTAAAGCACATACTTTTCTTTATGATAAGTTTATAACATAAAATCCACTTTATTTTTTAAAAAACTAAATTTTATGCGCTGGTGGCTTAGTTGTTTAACTTTTGTTCTTGTGAGTAGACTCTTCTCTTCCAAAACACAAAACCCTCTTGTATTTTTTGGGGAGAAAAATTTTGGGATGCTAGTTTCCTTATTGTAAGAAAAGGGCAAGTTCAAATTTCAGAATTACATGAACTAAAAAGAGTGCTAAAGTATTAGGGGTTTTAAAAGTGACTACTATCTATAGGTCTCTTTGCACTTTTATTGGTGAGTCTGCAAAGCAAATGTATCAAGCATTTGGGTATTTAAATACTGATTTATCCCACATTCCAATTAAAACACTACATTTATGTTCTAGCATGCCAATAAGTTGTCCCTTGAAATGGAGAATAAATTGTCAAATATGCCCATGATGATGTGAACATGGGAGCATCCCTCTGTGCCATGCTAGACCACTGAAGCAGGTAACCCACATTACCTGCTGCAGCATGACTGCTTGCTGCTGCTGAAGAAGGGCTTGGAGCTGTTGAGGAGACAGGACTTGCTGCTGAAGGATCTGCTGCATTTGCTGAGGGGTTATCACCTGGGGAGTCATCATGGCCACTGACACAGGTACCTTGACAGAGAGAGAAAGAGAAAATGTGGTCACAACCAATGTCTTTTAACATATTTCACAGCTGTAATCCATCTCTGATGGCAAGGATGACCAATAATTTTATGTAATATTTGTTATACTGTCTGTTTAATAACATTAAAGTACCACAGTTTTTGGACACTAGTTTTCTTTACGCATCAGATTTTATCAGATTCTATCTTTATGTTCCATACCTAATGTATTATTCTGAGACAGTTGAGCTTTTACTAGAATGGTTAAAAATAAAAAAAAAATTACAAATCAGTGTTCTGAACACTTAATAATCAATAATCTTATCAATGTCACAGTGCTATAAATGAAAAACCATTTGCAATGGTTTACAGTTATGATTAAAATAAATAATAAAGTTTAAATACTAGAAAGTAATATGTCTATAAATATGCTATCAAAGCTAATGAAAACAATGTGTGTAGAATGTGCTTACTTATAAGACAAAATCACCATCTCCAAAATTTTATATATTTGAAACACATAATAACACTAGAAAATACATATAGTAGTACATATTACTACATAGAATTCTCAGAGAAAGAACCATATCTTTAAACATTTTATTTCAAGCTAACTAAATTTATACCAGGAAGTCCAGAAATTTAAAGATTAATCAAAGATTATTGATTAAACTGAAAAAATTATTTTGCTTAAAGTTTTCTTTCTACTATTTCTCTTCAAGAGTCCGAGAATTAAGGGTTAAAAAATAAAAGAAAATAAGGAGGGAGCTAAAGAATCAGGAGAAAAGGGAAGCAAGAAAAATACAGACTGCGAAAAAAGCTAGAAAGCCCTGGAGAAAGAAAAAAAGATGTGAAGAGTTAAGAAAAGGATAGCAAGAGAGATAAACAGGAAAACCTTGCATAAAAGCCTCTGGTACTTTGAGAAGCTGCAAGGCAGTCGCATTGCTTGGAGGCATTGTCTATAGAATTAACCAACATGTAATCAAACTTGTCAACTTCACAAGTTTGCAACCATTGACAAGCAATCACTTTCTTTCCTAAAAAAGACACTTTTACTATAAATAAAAGCAAGTATTTATATAAATAATGCTTTGGAACACATTTTGGGACAATGTGTGTCTTTGAAATCAGCAAGATTAACAGACATGGCTCACAATTTTTTTTAATAATCCTTTTTAATGCAATTAAATTTTTTCAAGTCTGGCACTTTATGTTATAAAGACTGGAGAAACCAATAATAATAATAAAAAGACATTAGAAGAAACAAAGAAAAGAAATTCAGAGTGGATTAATCCCTCTCACAAGAAAACAAATCATCATATTTAATACTAAGAAAGAGCTATGCCCTTTCCATCCCATGTTAATGTCTGGAAATATGAATTAAGTAGATCTAATTTTGTGGAAAGAAAAGAATTACATTATAACAGAAAGGAATTCAAAAGTGATATTCAAAAGTATTTCTGGATTTTTAAAGAACATACTGACATATTTATAGGTTACTGTATTTGAATTTATCATAATAAAAGACATTCTGAACTACATATTGTAAAATAAATTTATCCAATTGGTTGCCCACTGTTTAGTTGTTTAAACGATTAGTGGTTAGTTTACGTAATAGTTTGTTCTTTGAGAAACAAATAGAATAGTCAAAATAAGCAGTTTGGAAAAAAGATACCTATCTACAAAAATGTCTTGTCTTTTTATAATCATTTACCTTATACTGCCTCTAAATAGCAAAGAATCAACACGAAATCAAAGGACAGAGAAAGACAGACATGCTAAACTTTAAAAAGGCTGCCAATCTAGGTAAGTAAATAGGTAGGTAGGTAAATGATAGATAGATAGATGATAGATAGAGAGAGAGAGATGATAGATAATAGGTATATATATTACATATATGTATAGATAGCTGTATAGATATATTTATGTAGATAGCTATATAGACATAGATATATTTACTTATAGTTATATACATATATACATGTAGATACTTACCTCCTATAAAACATATTATGTGATAATAAACTTGCCACAATTATCTTACCTAACAGCCTCTTATCACTTTTTAGCATACTGAGTGTTTTCACTTAATTATACCTACAAGTAAAAATACTTATGTATGACTGATAACAAATGCACTTTATAAGAAAAGGTTTATGAATAAAGACATGCACTTTAGGTTTACAGTCTGATTTCAGCTTATATAGATTATATTACCTTATAGCTTGTTGCTGTTGTGAGTGATTTGGTATAAAAGCAAATTTAAGCAAGTTTTTTACCTTTGCATTCTTTAGAGTTCATTTTCTTTTTCATTATGGCTGGATAATTATTTTTGAATCTTAAATGGTTTGTATTACTCTTGCAATGAAAAGTTTATGGCATAAAAATAACCACATCACTGTCATCTCCAAAATCATATGAATCACATGTGATCTTCTACAAATTTTAAGCAGATTCGGGTCTACCCTCTATCAAACTGTCATCTAAAACTGACAATGCATAGACATAAGATATGTAGAAAGATAAGCCAAGTAAAACACAACTAATTGAACATCCTTCTACAGTAAAATATGTACAAAAACACAAATTAAAAATAGTTAATATATGTAGGAAAGCACAATTGCACCTCTTAGGGATATCTAACATTACAAATAAGCTAATAATAGCACCTTGAAATCCACATACATAAGTTCATCCAAAATTAAATACTTGAGGCTAAATAAAAATTTAAATTATTTTATTTTATTTTACTATTTATTTTTTGTGTGTGCCCACCACCCAAAGTCAAACTATCAAAATTATTTTAATAAATAGAAAATTAGCTCTTTTTATGTAAGATGTAAACTACTCAACTTGTTTAGAAATTAATAATTTTCAAAATTCAAAACTTTTCCATTTTTAAGTGATTGATTTTAAGTGACACATTTCCTTTATTCTTCCTTTATCACCTTTGTTACTTTCCCATTGCATTTCTTTGCTATTATAAGCTGCTCTAGGAATTTACTGAAAAAGATAAAGATTAACTGAATACATACTTTTTTTTTGAGATTATGCTTTTGACCGATATTTAAAATGCAAAATCAGCATCATATGTGAAGGTCTGTGGATAACTTTCTAAAATTTATATATCTTAACAAGTTAGGTATGAGCTTAAGGAAATATTTTCCACTAGATATATGATTTTGCTCATGCAAATGTTCTCGTGAGGAGCCACAATTTAGATTGTGATAGAAGAAGGGAGGGAAAACTTACTTCAGATATTTTCTGGTGAGGAGTCAAATAAAAGTTTGGCTGGGTCTAAGAAAACATGATATGTTATGCAGCTACCAAATGGAATCAGAAGGAATAATTTTCTTAAATGGGTGTCCTAGTGAAAACTATACAAGTCTAAAAATCTTCAAGAGCAAAGAAGGAAAAACAGCCAACTTTAATTGGTAGAGAACTTTTTTCTCTCTTGGTATTTATTATACTGAAAAATCTAAAAGTCTCTATAGTCATACATCAAATAAGAGTTTTATCTATCCTATTTATTTTCTCATCAGATGAATTAAGCATTAGCCAGATGTGTTGCTCTGTGCACCAAGAAGTACTGGGTATGTGAATATAAAGATAGGGTTATATATTCTGAAACAAGAGAGAAAACATTCAGAAATTTGAAATGAGTCAAAACAGTAAAAGCAAAAAGCATTTAGATTTTATATTAGAATAGATAGGAGATGACTTTAGATTTTAAGAAATATAGCATAAATGTGTTTAGATTATGTTTCTAAGTGTACTTCATTGAAAGGGTCAAAAAGTTATTAGTAGGCAGTGCAAAGATAATTCTATCCCTCAAATGAATCTAAAGAGTTATTGTAAGAGTTATGAAAACGGATCAATATTTTTTGCTATATAAGTGCATTGTCTATTTACAACCTAGTTCAGCTGGAGCATTTCTGAAAGTGTTGAGTTTGCATATTAAGCATTTCACTTAATTAAACATCCAAATTATGTGTAGGTGATTAGAAAAGTACTTAGCATAGTGTCAGTCCAATTCTTTCTTCACCAAATGTGAATTTGAAAAAAACAATCACGACTTGTAGATGAGATTTACAGTAAAAAAAAAATTAATATCCTGTTAACAGGGTCTGCCAACTACTGGCTCATATTTCTCTTTATTTTTTCTTTTAAAACTTAAAGACAAAAGAATTCCTGACCACCAGGCTCTGGTACTTAAGAAGCATGTAACTCTATTAGAATTAACGGCAGTATAATAATTGCAAAACTAATTTTCATATTATAGTATCTCTTCTTATTTTAACAGACTATTCATAGAAAATATTTGATTGTACATTCTTTGATAAATATTTTTCACTTTTCTCCCTACACTATTTATATCTATGGTTTATTTTAACATATGAAACTATTGTACTGCATTGCCAGCCTTGGTCTAAATTCAAGCACTGGTTACATGTAAAACGTCTATCATAGTAATAGCCTTCAAAAGCTCCCTGGTTTTATGGTATTAAAAAGAACTGACAATGAATTGAGTGGTATTTGTAAGCTTTTCATCAAGTACTGAACAGGAGTATTTAAAGAGATCTGGGATGGACAGTGTATATTGCTATTTAAAGCAGTCTTTTCGCAGCAGGAGAAATACTGTGATGGGAACAACAGCAAGAGCAGCACAGAGCAATAATAGGCACTGAAATTCCTTTTAATCATGATTCATCACTACTTAGTTTCTTCTGTAGTTGATGATACTAGTTTTAATTTAGCACCCATTTGGTTACTTTGATAAAGCAGAGTGTTTTCTGTTTCGGAAAATAGAGTTTGTCCAACTTTACCCTACTCTTAGTTATACACAAATATTTCAGGAGAGAATCTAGGTTTGTTTCTATTTTTTTTTTTTTTTTGTGGACCTTGGGTGAAAATGTGGCTGCTCATATAGGCAGGTCATTGTGGAGATTATGGAGAGGTGATATATAATATGCTACACTTATGTTTAAAGGCCCAAGATGCAACTTCTAA